TTTATCTCTTATAGAACTCTCAAATGATCTCCTTCATTTTGGTGTGAATAAACAGTCACTTGTTCTCCATACCTGTTCACCTTGAACTATGCTTTATGAAGTCACTTCATTTACTCATTCTTTGCTTAACGATATCAACCAAATATGATCGAGAAATTAATGGAGTTTGAAATACTAAGAATTTGGTCGTTCACACATTTATTTGTATAGTACATCATCTGAAGTACAACTTCTCATATAGTGATGAGTATGGAAGCAATATAGAGCAAAGATAACCTTCAAGACGACGATAAGCCAGCTAGTAGCGTTTGTTGGACGCTTCAGATAGTTGAGGATGATAAAAATTAATCTGGGGATGAGCTGAAGTGGTTAGAAGATCAGTTGTAATTGCCAGCCATCAGCAATCGACAGTCGGAACGGAACGATCAGTGAAACTTGGTGATTACTCTATTCGTTGGCCATTTGCTGTGTCCCCACTTCTATGCTTGAAGGACACCAACACTCTTTTTCCACTTTTCTCCCTCTCTACCCTGCCCTCCGAAAATTGTATTTGCTTATTGGGGTTGATTCGTCCGTGAGTTGTGCGAAAAGTTGACACATTATGAATTGCCTGTGTCCATAATGTGTATGTATGGTGTTTTGTGTTGACATGTGGAGGAGTGAGTAGTTTTTGCATCGTTAGTCATTATCCGTTGGAACCAAACGGCATCCTTCCTTCCACTCATCACCTGTCTTCCAAAACCTTCCATTCACTCATCTCTTATATCATTTCTTTTTATACATATCTTCATTACCAGGTCCATGTTTTTGGGGGTTTCAAAACTTCTGGTCCTAAATTTCGTCAATTTCCTCCATCACTTGTGATGTCGAAGAATGTGCATTTGAATAATTTGGTCGTTTTGTATGGCATCTTATCAGGACAAATTAGTCAGTTACTACAAACTTCATGATGGTATGATATGACAGAACCATGAGCATGAGCTATGGGTAATGGTGGTACTGGATGCTGATCGAATCATTCCGTCTAACTGACTATTGTTTAGGTTTCTAGGGATTCTTACTGAATACATCTTTACTTCAGGAGGAAGAGGTATTCGGAAAATAGAACTTTTATTGTCGGACATACGCTTTTTATTGTTTACCTTTGACGTATCTCACGTCTTATACTAGCTGTGGTGATCATTGATCACCTCCCTCCTTAGTTGAGTTCAGGTACATAATGCCTTGGCTTCAGATGCAGCACTCACTCATTCAGGAATGTTGTATAATCCTTGCTTCAAATCTGTCGTGATATCTTCCACCACTTTCTCCTCACATTTATATTTTCAAACTGTAGAAAGTGCTGCTGGGTGAATGAAAACCAATGGGTTCGGTGACGTGAAACGACATTCGTGTATAATTTCATTAGTGACAACTTCCAGGACCAAAACTTAAAATACTTTTACATTTATATACAAGTTGTTTGTATGTTTTAACTGGTAAAGTATTCCTGCTATAAAACCGATTTTGGACGACACAGTCAAATTCGTCCGCCATTTCAAATTTTATTTTCTTCCTATACTTACTACCTGCATCTGTGTGTGCTTTCATTTCTCCGAGAATTAAAAGAAGAACTCATAAATCAAGTTTGCCCGTACTAACACACCAATCATAATGAAGTGGTGCTTTTTTCAGTTTCGCGCTTGCAGTATCTAATGAGTTTGATAGAATGGTTGTGATTTTAGAATACTAGCTTTCCTCGTTCTATCTTGGCTAGCCTGATGTTCAGCTAGTCAACTAAAAATTTCGTAAACTCGCATGATGCGGAGCAATTTAGGTATGTTGTCACTGAACGTGCTGGCGAACGTTTTTCGTTTCATCCAAAGGTGGAGCATTGTTCTGTTCAAGTTATGCACTTTTTGCGTGTCATAGCGTCGAATGCGTCACAATTTTCAGTTGTGCAGTGTGCCATGATTGAACGAGTCCCTTGTAATTAAGTTTAAAAATGTTGGAATCCTGTACGAAGCAGTTTTTGCTTATTTGCTCCTCTCTAAGGCTTTACAGACTTTGATTCACGAGAGTAGGCTTGACTGATAGTATGTCTTCTACAAGTGAAATATTTTAAAATTTCCTACCACACAGTTATAGATATATCTGTATACATAGAAGAAGAAAGAGAAAGAGAGGGAGAGAGGGAGAGATATACCTCATACCCTACTCATATATGGCATACCATCTCTTCACCATCCATATGTTTTGTATACTATTTCCTTTTGATGTGTATTTGTGGTCGGTTGGCCTCGTTTCTCATCATTAACTTTCTTTTGGAGTAGTCGAATTTCATAGCTTTGTAGAAACCTCTCATTCATCTAGGGACCTTTGATCATTTATTAAGAGTTCGTTATCCTTTAATGTTGATGGTAGGGTGAGTGTGCTTCTCTTATACTATCGTTCGTTAATGTTAGGATTAGTGGTACCGTACATCGATTTTCTGAGAAATAATATTTAGATGTGTTTTCACTGATATTACAAGTCAGACTCCGTTTAGCATTACGATGATACCGACAGTGGAATGTAGGCGTTTATTTTTTTACCTGTCCAATGGCAAATGGATGCAGTGGCTAAGGGAGCATGATGGATCATCGCTGAGTAGGCCAACGCTGGCATGTATAAAGTGAGTTAAGGTGACTACATGAGTTTGGAAGCAGAAGGGAAGGGGAGATGGGAAGCATGCGCGAGCAATGCTGCTTGCCACTTCACAATGTTGGCCAAGTCACCTAGACCCCAGTATGTGTAGGGGGAATATGCGCATAGCAGAGGAGAGTTAGCTAAAGGGTCGGGTCATGTCATGGGTATGCTGGCTAAACTAAATATGAACGAACATAGGGAAGTGAGTGAATTGGATTGGGATGGTGGTGGGAAGGGACAGGGATTGAATTTCTCAAATAGCGAGAGGGAGCTTGCTTGCTTATTTTTGCTTGGTGCCCCAGGGCAGCAGGGCTTAGTAAACACCCACTTTAGCCCATCAACTATCGTCGTCGTCGCGATTGTACATCGTTAGCGCTTCTGGTTCTTCATCCGTTTCTCATGCAGCCACTTCATACAAGCACCAGATACGGACATCAAAGCGCCTGGAGAGCTAGTCTCTAAGCTTTTGTTTCAAATCTATGTTTAGTCGTTAAGCCTATGGCACTGGCTGCTGCAAGCTGTTGTTGGCACTTGGGCTGCTACTGTTCTGTTGTGAATAACATTGCTTTACGCTCCCGCTTACTCCACCTCTCATCACTTCTCTTTATTGGAAATGTGGTTAAATTAGGCAGGACCTGCACGTCGAGCCCCGAAATTTCTCTGAGTTACAAATGTAACCTGAAAAAGATGATATAAAAGAATTAAAAGGATGCCGAGGAATATGTTCAAACGGAGAGGAAATTCGCTGTATCAGTAATGGGTCAGCAACATGGCACAAAAATCAAAAATTGAATTTAGATTGCATCATCTGTCAACCGCATCTTAGTTCACGGTTGTTTGAGACAGAGGTTTTTTTTCGTTATCAGAGATTAGATATTCGTCGGTAATTAGTGTCACAAATTTCTTTTTATTCATTTTTGATCATTTTAAAATTGATTTCTGTGATGACGAAGTGGACCTTACCCTCATTTGTGACGATTAAAAAGAGAGAGAAGGGAGGAAATAGTAAGGCGGGGAAATAGCCGGTAAAAAGGAAGCTGATAAGGGAAGTGTAGGTTTTCAAAGCATATGGCTTGGTCGGCAGTATTAACAAGATTTCCCTGCAATTTTACTGTAGTGTGCTTCTTAGGATCAGTTGGCGTGGGGGGGTAAACGCTTCTTCTCATCTAAAGTGATCGGATAAAAGTAAGCGCGATACTTTCCTATTTATCTATTTTGATCATTTTGTCTACAATCTTTCTATTCAACTAGTGGAGAATATCGGGTACTAGGGAAGTATATCGGAGAACACAACTGTACCAATTAGTGACTCTCGAGATGAGACATTCATGTTGCGGGATATACCCTGTCCATTTCAACATTGTTTCAGTGCATCTTTTGTTGTCTTCTCCCGCTCATCCCCCTTAGGTCAAGTCAGTTGGTTGTGCTCTACCATGTCGCCGATAACCTGTATTGCGATCCATTTCATGAGTTGTACATTTGGCTTAGCTCCTGTGGGGACAGACGTGGTTTTTTTTTCTTTTTTTCCAGCTCTCTCCTCTATTTGGCCGAAGAGAGTGCTCGGCGCCTGGGACTTCGACTCAACCTAAGTACTTTCAAGCGTAGGTGAGCAAAGTTTCAGGTGTTCGAGCACCTTCGCATTTTCCATTTTCTTTGCCTTTTCGGTCTCATGAAATAAAGACCAGTCTATTTTCATACGTTGAGTACTGTAGAGCAGTGTTATTTTATCACATGATCCAGGACAATTATAGGAGGGAAGAACATGAGATATGTATCCCATTGCTGCAACATGTTTGGTAACTATAATGTTTGTGGAAATTGAGGGGACGAAGGGAGACCGAGGGAAGCGAAGGGGAGAAGGGGTCGTTTAGACCGGATAGTTGCGGTACTCGAAGCAATTATAGTGGGAGTTGTGTGTACGTATGTGTGTGTGTATGCGATGTATGTATGTATGTATGTTTGTGTGGATGCATTTGGTTGTCGAGTTGATCTGTGGGCAATTGAAAGAGGAAGTAATTATTGATTCCTTTTTTTGTTGCTACCGGTAAAGGGCACTAATTAAACTTCTAGGCCCCTCTGGTGCGGAGCATATATGAATTGCTCGCTCCAATTCTTTGTACTCTGTCATGAAACATATCTGTACGTGAGCATCCAAGAGGGGTCTACCCCAGCAACAGCATGATGTTTTGACATTTATTTTGTTTTCTCATCTTACTGAAGTTTCAGTGTCTTTACAAATTGCGCTGCAGTGCAGTTGAGAACACCTCTTGAATAGATCTATCAAAATTGAAGTAAATTTAAACTTCCCGCTACTCGCTGGAAATTATGAAGAAGACTTTTGCAAGTTTAGTTATCGACTGTTCAAGTTCAAGGCTTATTAAGTTTTGTGGGATTAACAATTACAGTATGACTCCTGTAGTAATGCTTTCGTTTGTGTAACTTCTGCAAGAGATGTCCGAAGGACAAGTGAACCTCATTAGAATAAAGTGCTCTTTGTTAGTCATGTGGAGTACTGTAAGGGAGGAAGGATGTTCATCTTAGCTTGCTTCGTCTTCGTCTCCTTTAGCTTACTTCGTCTCCTTCGTTTCCTTGGATTGTTGACAGTTTGTCAATCAACGGACACATTACTCGAGAAAGGGGAGGAAGTAATAATGGAGGGCTATTTATCATTGGCTATTAATGGATGCAGTAAATAAATGGTATGAATAACAGCTGATTACAACACGGTCAGATGGCGGTGAATTCTGTTTTGGTAATGCAGTTACTTTGGTTAGTAAAGTTTTCAAATAATTGGTCCATAAAGTTCTTGAAATCACTTATTCAAGTTGAACTGTCATAACTTCCTGATCATAATGGTGCTATTAATGAGATAAGGTGTTCGTTATATTTGGCGATAATAAGAAAGATCATATGATGTAACCTGCAATGGTAAGCGGGAACTGGTTTTTCCCATAATTTTTAGAAATGACGAGATGTAGGTAGATCTGTTTACAGCTCAGTAAACCAGTTCATGGGGAGTCGGAGCAGTCGGAGCAACGGATCCAGAAAAGTCGTTGTAAACATGCGCCTGTGCGATACTGCTCGCCACCTACGTCTGAGAGTGACGATCATTCAAGAAGCGCTTCAATCCAACGTGATGATGTTGGTCCGCTGTTACCGGAGGCACATTCTCAAAGACGTGAAAGACGCTTGGCACATGCTCGACGTTTTGGCATTGATCCTCCGCCGCAAACTGTCGATGTAAGTACAGTTTTGGTTTCATTCTTCTCAAGTAACGTCATCTTCAATGTCGATGTCTGTGGTAGTTAGTTATAAAATGTTTGGGCGTGTTAAATATTATATGTGTTTGTTATGTGCGGGTTTGTTGGGGTGTTTGTATTGGTTGATGTTTGTCGCAGTCGAATTGACCGTGGTAACAGAGTAGTTCATCTCCGTTACTTACACTTTCATTTTCACAAGGTAATAAATAAAATAACAAAATCAATAGGATAAAGTATTCGTTATCATATTATAACGAATATTTGGCGCTAAAATACCACTGGAATTCATCCGTAATGTATGACAATCGTTTTTCGCGTGGTTGCAGGCACTAATTTGTAGCATAGGCCGTGAACTATTTGATATTTCAAGGAATTTTTTTCTTTAGCGTAATGAGCAATTGAAATTTCATGAGCAGTCTGATAGGTATATGATGAGCAGTCACTTGTTATTTGTCTTAATTTAAATTGTGAGTCATTTACTTAGTACTTTAACACTGTTTAACAGTTCGATATAACTTGTAATACAAAAACTAAGTATGAATGGTTCGAAGATAATGCATGTACTGAAACCGTTCTGGAGTCATTCTTGCTTACTAAGGATTAATTTTTATATTTTTATGTTTATGAGTTCCATTGGATTGGTGGGGAAAAGATCCCAAGTGAAACATGGTTGGTGCCCTATTTGAAAAGAGAGAAGGATACGAATATGCTAAATGTACACTGGTGAGGTTACAGAGGCAATGTATTTGGTTGCTCCATGAAAAGCCCAAGTTAGTTTTAAATGATGGCTACTATGAATATCCCAAGTTTATTTTAAATGATGGAACCGTTGAGGAACTCTCCTTAAACTGAAACTTGAATGAGACTCCTGCGAGTGAAAGTGCACAAAATTCGTGTCACTTTTTAATTCAATAAATTAATAGTGAAAGGGCGTCCAGGCATAGGCTGTGGTATACGCAATAAGGAAATAAGAAGTATAATACACAAATACGCTAATCCTAAACTTCTTGCTTTACACAAAGAGAGATAGGAGATAGAAAGATTAATGGGTATGGGAGATCGGTAAGTAAGTATAGAGAGATCGAGGAATGCCTGAATTAATGGCGGTATATTTTGTATGGTGAGTTAATTTATATATTCGTCTTGCAGTATTAAGTTGCGATACTTGCAGAGTTTTTATCGGTTTACAAGGTGTCCAATTTAGCCGACGATCCAAACATTTTCAGCAATGTGTAATACGGTATTAATAGTTAACACTTTGTGTAATGTTTATTTTCTTTAATGGGTGGAACGCCTATCACACGGGCGAGAGACGCAAAGAATTTGTTAGTAATTGTACTTTTCTGTGGCGTTCGAGAACAAGAACTGTAGCCAGTTCGTCGGATGGTGTTATAGGTAATATATAAACGTAGTCGAAATATGGAATCAGCTTTTGAGATGGGGCATCTAAGCATTATGAAGCAGATATGTAGCGGTAGATTGCGAGTGGAGTGAATCAGGATTAGTAGAAGATTACTGATCGAAACTTAAAATATCGTCAGGAATTACTTTGGAGCGAATCGTTTTTGTAAGGATCAATTACTTGCGGTATAAAAAGCCCCGGCATTACCATTTATATTTTTCTGTTATCCATCTGGTTCTTATGTTGCGTAAGCATTTTATCACTGTCCAGACGCAGTTGGTATGATCGTTCAAATGAAGGAAGAAAAGTATTCTCTAGGACGGTGGCATGATTTCTGCTGGTAAAATATTGATGGATAATCCTTAGTTCCTTTTTTTTCTTTTTTTAAAGATTTTTACGTATTATTATTTTCAGAGTTCAACGATTGATTAATGGAAGTTTTATTATTCATAAAATTCAGTAGTGAGATACTTTTTTCTAGTAGTTTTATGCATTCGTATCTTTTAAAATTGGGGATACACTCAAGTTTGCAAAGACAAAAGCTTACAGCAACCTTTCTCTTTGTAAATGTTACAGTGTAGGTGTTGCCTTTCATTTCCAAAGATTAATATACGTATCACGTGTATAAGCGTCTTCCTGTTCAGAGGAAGACAACTTGCCTCTAACCATTAAACTTTTGTAGAAAAGCTTTTTTTGTGTTTTAATTTTTATGTATGATGTATTTTATTGTGTATAGCTGGATATCTTGTCTCTTCCTACCTTATCAAGTCCTTGAGGCTTGATGAATGCCTCGAAGGGTTGGCGTTTGCTGTTTCTATGTCGCAATAGCTTCAATAATAGAGTGACATGTAATTTACACTTTAAATTCGGTGAATGTTTGTCAACTTTTATTATCGATATAACAAAATGCAGGAGAGGGAAAGAATTAACTTTTCAGATCGAGGAAAATGAAGTGGATGAGTTGTACCGTTCCATGGATGTCCAAGTGCGCAGTTCTCGTCACAGACTTCATTCTGTATATGTGCGAGGTGTTGATGGCCTTTCTACATATCAAATTGAAAAGTAGGCTTCCACTACGAGTGTACCCATTTCTGACTTACCTTCTGTTAGGTGTTCAATTTAATTCTGTTCGTTTCTAACTGGTTTCGAGATTTGATAAACGATTCCGTCATGAATATTTTGGTGATGCTGCGTTTAACTTTGCCCAATAACCCTAATTGGTAAATTTAAAATTCAATCTTGTTAGGAATTTTATGGCATTTTGGTTTTCTGAATGAAAATCAATTCGAATATTTCCTGCTAGGATTGAAAACGGGGAAAAAGAATTCTTTGTGATATGGAATGAGGTGGCGATAAATTTTAGTCTCGTTAGTTATTTGGCTCGTTTTCTTGTTTTACTTATTTCAGAATATTCGCTGAATTTGATCCGGTAGCGGTTGAAATGATTGATGAAGTGAGCTGTAATGTCATTTGGAATGATCGTTTTGCTGTCGCTAAAGTATGAATTTTTCTAAGAATAATGGATCATTTTTTCTGGAAGCATTTTAAAAGATTTGATGTCTTAGATTCATTTAGTGTCATTTCATTGCACGAGTACTCAGCTGTGAAAGTCTCCTATTATTTTCCTGTTGTTAAATAATGTAGGTAGTTCGGCAAGTAATTAACGCTGACTGGCTGAATGGCCGCACTGTGCTGATGGTTGCTTTCGTAAGAACGTAGTGCTTGGAGCACATTACCTGTGGGGCTTTACATGAAGATTTTTAATATGATTTTTTGCATTATGTTAGATGGGACATATTGTTATGCAATTTTTACAAGTTATGTATTTTTCTTTTAATTTAAAAACAGCAGGATGTTACTGTTGAAGATGATGCTAGAGATGACAAAACCATTGAAACGAGTTCGTAGCAGTCGCCAAGTGGAAGAGGGTGAAGTCGCGGATAGTGGCGAGGAAGAAGAAGATGGCGAAATGCGAGAGGAGCAGGGAGATGATGTTACGATCAGTATGGTTAAAGGTTTCGAATCTTTCCTTAATTTTAATTGAAGAATTTTGCAAGCAAGCGGTCGAAGTACGAAGTGGGGTCATACGTTTATGTGACCTGTTGGTAAGGATTAAAATTTCCAAGTTATTTTCCCTAGGTATGGTTGTCAGCGATTCTAGAAAATTTGGAAAATAAGAACTAATAATATATGCAAAAGACGAAAGATACTGTCTCTTTCTGGCGATATAAAATTGTGTCCAGAATTTACAGAGTTTAAATTTTTTGAAAAAATTGAAAATGTTATCTTAGGATCGATGTCGAATAAGAGAAATACGGAAGCCAATGTAATTGAAGTAGAAGTTGATCAAGTTGAAATACCACCTGGTAAGTTTTATTTGAATATCATTTGGTGGATGGTACGGCTGGAAAGAGGTAGAGGATTAGGTCGTTTGAGGGTTTTTTAACATTCTCTTGAATTGTGCATTTTTTACACAATATCAAGATTTACAATTTTGGATTGTAGAGGGAGAGAAAATAAGTATGATTGATGCTGTTTTCGTATGCAGTGATAGAAGTGATATTAGTGGAAGATTCCTGTATGAGGATAACTGGCTGCATTGTGAAGAGTGATTCAGAATTCTTCCCCTTTTTTTAATTACCGTTTTATTTACCAAAAACATTTTCTGTCAAAGTATCTCGGGAAGTGCTAGGCACTATTTTGGCGTCCCTTTTTGCCAGAATGATAATTTCCTAAAAATAGGATATTAATAAATGACGAATTGGAAATATTAATTTTTTTTAGGAAAATGGCGTGTAATAACAAAACATGTTGGACATAAGCGGCTGATTATATTGCGATTCAGTTTAAGAGAAGATATAGCAAAAGTAAGATTTTATTTTTCTCCTAATTTTTCTTTTGTAACATTTGCTAAATAAAATATTGTTGTGCTGCCCTTTCTCCCTGTTTTATATCTTTATCTGTAGTGGGAATTGGAAAATTGAGTAATAAAGAAATACTTCTTTTTGGCATTTTGCTAAAATGACTGGACCAAAATTTTGACGAGATAGAGAAAAGGAAGAGGGATGGAGAAGGGTAGGTTGGAAATAGTTCGATAATTAGCTATTATAGATGATGACTCGAAGTATATTTGTAGTGTTCGTTTTTTCGCATTGATTTTCATAATTACTCGTTTTAAATTTCATTTATTAAACCCTGTGGCTTTTGTTTTTCATTTGATATATTTTTTATAATATTGAGAAATTTTCATCAAATCTATTTAAGGGTCGCAAGAGTTCTATGGATAAACGAGGAAAAATTACTTCAGATTCAGTGGATCCGGGTAAAAACTCAGCTATGAATCATATTATATCTTTTTTTCATTTATTTATTTGCTGAGTTTTTGGGAATTCATTCCTTGTTGAAAAGTCAGGAAAACAGCTCCATTCATGTATATGTTTTGGGATTTAGACGTTTGTAACCTTGAGTTTTAGATGGTTATACCTATAAATGGATGAATCGAAGAAATCGAGTGCGACCCGGGTTAAATATCTTTGATGAGAAGGGTAACGAGCTAGAATGGGATTATGAGCATGATACGAGGTATGGTTTAGAAGGAATGATTATCACTAAAAACCGGTATTTTCCAGAATATACCTCTTATATTCTGGAAAATATGGAAGTGAATTTAAATGGTTCCGAATAGTGAATATTCATTTCTTCTGCAGATTTTATGAAGACCTGGGAAAAACAGTGGAAGCAAAGAAGGACAACTCGCCAATACCGGCGGATGACAAAGTGATTATTGTCGGTACGAGAAAACACAAAATTAAGACACGTGGGCGTGGAGCAAAACGATTTAAAACTGTTGCTGATTTGTCGTCTGATATTGGATCGTTGGCAGCTGATCGCGAAGACCTTCAGTAAGAATTGTTTTATATTTAAGTCAAAATGCGAAACAGTTGAAATAAAAATAGGGAACTGAAAATGTAGTTTCGATTTATATATCAACTCTTAGAAGGAACTGACTCGAGTTCCTAAATAAGTAGTAGTAGAAATGATAGTACTACGAGTAGTGGTGAGAAAATAATGCCAGTCCTAACAAACTTGATTGACCCATAGTTTTTTGATTGCTTTGAGCCTTACATTTCCGTTCACAATTGAGAATGGTAAGAGCAATAATAATCACTGCGTGTGAGCAATATGATTCTGTTCATCCCCTCCATCCAATAATTTCCTGGTATTGCAGCCCACTGAAAAGAAAGTTCGCAAGTGTCACTGATGGAAATGCTATTAGAAATGAAGATGAAAGCGATCTGAGCGACGATCGGGATCCCAGTCCAACACCGCAGCCTTGGGATTTGAAGAAAACTGGTGTTCATTTGCGCGTCGTTGTACCGAAAATGAAAGGTGACAAAAAGTGATTAAAACTGACACAATTGTTTCGAACCAGAGATGGTAACAGCAGTAGTTAACTTTAGTTGCAAAGCTTTTAAAGGCGGAAAGTCTGATGGTTGGGATACAACTTTCTCATAATTAGGAAGAAACTGTTCTATATAGTAAAGAGAAATGCAGGAAAAAAAAGATGAATTGAGATGAAGTTACGAACGGAAATTGATATTGTGGGTCGTTATTGATAAGCAAATTGAGTGCCTATCAGCTCGCTGTTTCCTTTTTTTTGATATGGTTGTAAATATCAAAGTTTTTTAAACTTACGGCAGTTGTATGTTCCGTTTTTTTCGAAATGCAATAAATATTAGAAAAGCTCCAGTTACCGTTGTTCCAATAAATCATCACACTACTCTGGGCTTGAAAAGAATTTGTAGGCTCTAATCCTCCTATTACTAATAGAAGATAGATCAAAATCTCGAAAATAGGGGATGAATGCTTGTTAAATTCTCATTCGGAAACTAAACGAATGCCAGTTACTGAAATACTGTTATGTTGTGTATGTTAACTCAGAATTGCCAGGAACTTGAAATATCGGGTGATAATTATGAGGTTTTAACCCGATTCTATCGACATACTCCTAAAATCTTAACATTAATGAACATTTTTAATCTTTCGAAGAGAAATATCGGGTCGAAAGTTTTGAAACCCCTTTAGATAATTCTGGAGAAGTTTTGCCGTACTGTGTGCATTAATGGCTTTTTCTATTGTATCAAAATTATCTTAAACGTTAAGGAATTCCGTTAAGAACTTTGTTCATTCTTTTGAATCTTATATCTTTCGCTAATATGGATGGTGTTGATGAATCACTTGTAAAACAGATGGGCAAAAATAAAGTTGACGGTACCTTCGTGGTCAAATTCAAGTTACCTGGTTGTGAAGATGGGTTTGGTAGGATAAGACATTTCTGATGTCATAATGAGTGCTGGAAGTATGGATGTAGGTTTCTTCTGGCGGGGTTAATTGATAAAGGATCGCACTTTCTCGTTGGACTTGAATGCTGTATAAGGCTGAGGGGGAGGTAGACGGCGAGAGATGTTGCGGACGGCTGTTGCAATGTGGATTTTAGCGGAGTTGGCGATAATGTTGTGAATTCGTCATCGGCAGTGATATGTGTTGGCATCAGAAATATTAATTTTTGGGAAGATGGAGAATAGGCACATTTCCTACTACCAACTCCGTACCGTATTGTCCACCGCCTCTAGCACCGTAATCCGCTTCTGATCCAACATGATCCTTTTATGTGGGTGAAGAGTAGCAGAGCGAATATTCTGTAGGTGGTTTTGGCGGGTACGCCGAATTTTAAAACGACCGGGAAGTGTTTGTTCTATTTCAGTAATGATGGGATATATTATGATGAACGGTGATTGTTTGTTATCCTTGACCAATCTTAACAAATTAAGCTCCTGCGAAAATTCGAACTTTTGCTACTTTTCGACAAGCCACTTTTTATTAACAACAAACAATATTATATTCGAGGATATTATATTTGAATGTTTATATTGTCATGTTTGAATTTCTGAATAATTACTGCGGTGTGAAAAGTTGCTGACAGTATCTTCGTTTGAACTTCGAATATTTCAGTTAATCAGTTAATCTGTGAGGCCTCAAAAATAATCTTCAACTGCAATGGTGCAATCTAGCCAACGAACCTCCAATTCTTACGTAGTTAAACGAGGTATGTCACGCGGAATCTCTATTCTTTAGCTCATTAGATAAGCTAAATACCATTAAAAAATCATTGAGAATGAAATACTGTTGAGAGGCCTATTTTATCAATAACATTACGCTAAATAAGATGCGGTAGAGAAATGGAATTGTGGTGCTTTGAAATTTCAGTTTTGAATTGCGGCACTTAGAATGCTAGGGTTCTGGGGTGCTGCGATGCTGCTTAAATTTATTCTATGTACCAGCTATATAAAACAGTTATGTTCTTATTATATGTATTTCAGATGGACGACACGAGGCTGTTTCTTTTGATAAAATTGCTCGCCGAATTATGAAACTGTGCTACGGCTTAAGCCAGGATCGAGTAGATCACGTAAAACATAATTTATTACATTTTACTGATTGCCGAAGTTTCCGATAACTTTCGAGTTCAGTGGTGCAGTTTTTTAAGCCACAGACGTAATGGAATCATTTCTGAAAATTCAGAGCTCTGTCAATTTAGAAGTTCGTATCGCTCATCTCTTTCTAGATCGAAATATCGCAAAAAGTGATTGCTGGCCTATACAAAGGTGTAACGACTGTTGAACTGGATAATTTGGCTGCGGAAATCGCTGCTGACATGATAACTAAACACCCAGACTATGCAACTTTGGCATCTCGAATTGCTGTCTCTAATTTGCATAAGAAAACTGAAAAAGTTATTTTTGAATGCAGTAATGACTGATGATAGCTGACATTTACTTTGTAGAAGACACTTGGTTCCAAGAGAAAAAGAATTCCCTTAATGTATTGGATTTCTTTTGATTCTTGGTTAATAGTAATTATTTGAAATAGCTGATTTAGAAAAGATTTTTTTTATTTAAATGATTCGATCCAATCTAAAGATCAAGACGTGTTATACGATTAAGTAAAATCTCTACTTTCGGGGTATAGAAATGTTCTGTTAACAATATTGTATAATAAACGGTATACTTTGCTCTTTGGAAAATCAAAGACTTTTTAAAGTAAGATCTTTGTAGTTATTTTCGAAGGTCTCAAAAAGACTGTACAATGCTACACATCCGAAATCTGGTCGACATATGCCACTGATTAGCAAGAATATATTCGATATCATTCAAAATAATGCAGATGTAAGTTGGTTATATGATAGTTAAGTTTCAAGTCAATTGAAGAATGTGAATTGAAAAGGGTGTCAAGTTGAAGTAAATTTACTGGTTTTAATAAACATAGTTTTCGGAAATCTAATAACCTTAGAAACTTCATAGTTTCAAAATTAGGTAGCAGTAAAGAAAGAGGAGGGCCGATACAACGTTATTGTAGCAGAGCAACGTATTTTTTGAATTATTTTTAAGTAATGTTTGTTTTCAAGAAATTGCCTGTCATTCTAGTTTTGATCGATTTCCATCGGTAAAGGACCGGTTTTCAGATTCTGGACTCAGCAATAATTCATGAACGTGACTTTTGCTACACATACTTTGGTTTGAAGACTTTAGAACGTTCTTATCTTCTGCAAATCAATGGAGAATTGGCCGAACGTCCGCAGCATATGTTAATGAGGGTTGCACTTGGGATTCATGGTGACAATATTGAGGCTGCTCTTGAGGTATGGATAATTATGTCCAATTTAGGTTTGTTTTTAGATATACCATCTTTATACGTAATGCAGCATCACTTTAAGTACCGGAAATTTCTACAGTCTGAGCTGACTATCTGATGCAAATGTGACTTGCTATAAATTTGTCCCCAACATTACAAATTTTAATTTCAGACTTACAATTTGATGTCCGAAAGATGGTTTACACATGCAACACCGACACTCTTTAACAGTGGTACCTGCACACCGCAAATGAGTTCGTGCTTCCTGTTGACGATGTTTGACGATAGTATTGAAGGCATATTCGAAACGTTGAAGAAGTGTGCACTGATTTCAAAAAGTGCTGGTGGTATTGGCTTAAATGTGCACTGCATACGTGCCACTGGCTCGGCAATTGCTGGAGTATGTGCTTAGTATCGTTTATAAAAATGTTACAAATTTAAATAAGTTGGCCATTATGCTTCAAATCTTATACATTTTAAAGATTTATTTATTCACTAAATTAAAAATTTCGGCATTAAAGATTTCGGCATTTCGGCAGAACAAAAAAATATTGTTTTTGCTCCGGACTTTAATCTTTTATGAAAAATTTTACGGACAAAACATTTTAGAATTTAATGTTTTGAGAAAATGGTACTTTGAATTAAGAAATTTCGCATATTTAGACAAATGGCGTTTCAAATGGCTTGGTACCTATGCTTCGGGTGTTTAATAATGCGGCGCGGTACGTCGATCAGGGTGGGAATAAGGTTACCGCATTTTTTTCACTGCCTAAAAATTTCATCTTTTTTCATTATTCATATCTTGAGTTACCAATTTCTTTCTTTGTGTTTTAAATATTGGATGAATGTGGGTCTTGAAATAGAACGATATCTATTACAGAGGCCAGGCGCTTTTGCTGTTTACTTGGAACCGTGGCACGCGGACATTTTCGACTTTTTGGAACTGAGGAAGAATGTGGGTGATGAACTTGAGCGTTGTCGTGATTTGTTTTTCGGTTTATGGGTGCCGGATCTTTTCATGGAGCGTGTACGTGACGATAAAGTATGGTCGCTAATGTGTCCTGCTGAATGTCCCGGCTTGGAAGATTCGTGGGGCGAGGCATTCGAAAAACTATATATGCAGTACGAATAATTTTATTTTCACATCCATGTAAAAAGACAACCATGCAAAATGATTTTAGATTCTGAATTTAAAGGAGAATTGCAGGTATGAAGAAGAAGGTCGGTACAGAAAGCAGGTACCTGCTAGAAAACTGTGGGAAACAATCGTTTCTACTCAAATAGAAACTGGCATGCCATATATGGTTTACAAGGTAATGTTGTCAATTGCAAGAATCACTTATCTGATCTTTGAAGTCATGTGAAATATGCATTAAATGCGCATGGTAAAGGTTTTCATAGTTTGTTGTCTGTTGTACTTAGCTGTTCGTTTGGGCAGTTTCTAATTACAAATTGATGTAAGTGCATCATAATTTAGCATTACTGTTAATGAGAGGAACGTGTCTGAAAAACACCGTTGTAGTAAATACAGGAGTTATAAAGTGTCTTTGTTAAATGAAGCGTGAAGTTACAGGATACGTGCAATCGAAAAACTAACCAGCAGAACTTGGGTACCATCAAATGTTCCAATTTGTGTACTGAAGTAGTTCTGTACTCGTCTCGTGAAGAGATTGCCGTGTGTAATTTGGCATCTATTGCACTTAGCCGTTTTGTTTCGTCAGAAATGACATTTGACTTCAAAATGTTGCGTGAGGTATGTATACATAGAAAAGAGAGAAGGGTTACGTAGAACATCTGGACTTGTTGTGAACCTTCATGACATGGAGAATATGACTGTATTTCAGATCACAAAAGTAGTTGTTAGGAATTTGAACAAGGTCATCGATCGCAATTATTATCCAGTACCGGAAGCAGAACGGTCTAATAAGAGACATCGTCCGATTGGCATTGGTGTTCAGGGCCTGGCTGATGCCTTCATTCTTATGCGGTTTTTTTAGTTTAATTTTCCAGCTTTTACAGGTTCCTGATAGCATGAAATTAATAAATTGAACCTGCAATGTGTCGAAATTGTTATTCGCTTTTTCAGATATCCATTTACTAGTGAGAAAGCTCGTGATCTTAATAAGCGAATTTTTGAAACGATGTATTATGCAGCACTTGAAGCTTCTTGTGAACTTGCGATGGAACAAGGTCCGTATGAAAGCTACGAACGTTCGCCTGTTAGTAGAGGAGTTAGTACTTGATGACCATGATTTTTTCTTTTTTTGTTATTTTGTAGCACCTTTAAATAGCTTCCAATATTTGGTTTCCTGAAATTTCCAACTTTTTTCAATTTTCATTAAATTTTATTTTTAAATTTTATGTTTTGTAATGTGTCTCCACAAAATTCAAACGAAATTTTTTACTTCCAACATTTTTCCAAAAAGTTAATTTTTTTTTATTTCAGTAATGTGTTCTTATAAAATTCAAGACTAAATTTTTTGCTTTAGATTTTACAATTCGATATGTGGGGCGTGACGATTTTTTGCTTTAGATTTTACAATTCGATATGTGGGGCGTGACGCCGACAAATCAGTGGGATTGGGAAACTTTGCGTAAAAAAATTGCAATGTACGGCATCCGGAATAGCTTATTATTAGCACCAATGCCTACTGCTTCAACCGCGCAGATACTTGGCAACAATGAAAGTATTGAGCCTTATACCAGTAATGTGTACACTCGTAATGTCTTATCCGGAAGTTTTCAGGTGAAATTCCATGATACTTTGTTGATACGTTTTGAACGGATTACCTCAGAAATAACCTTTTTGCAATCTTTTCTCTTAATAGCATTTCTTTGCTTAGAGGATTATGTAATCTCTTTGAAGGTCTTCAATATGCACCTTATGAATGATCTCATGCGCCTTGATTTATGGGATGACGATATGAAATTAGAAATAATTAAAAATAAAGGATCGATTCGGAATATTGAACGCATTCCACAAGAAATCCGAGATCTTTACAAGACAGTTTGGGAAATGTCGCAACGAGTTAGTGTTAATAATAATACAAACTTAAAGAATGAGATTTAGATCTCATTCTTTTAGGAATATAGGACGAGTCATTTCAATTATAGTAATGGAAATTTTTTAAAAAAAAGGATTTCCATTGAAGGATATTATTGATATGGCTGTTGATCGCGGTGCATTTATCGATCATTCGCAGTCGTTAAATATATTTATAGCACGTCCCAATTACGGCAATATTACCAGCATGCACTTCTATGGATGGCAGAAGGTATGCACAGCGTTTCTGATCAGACTTTTATATTTCTAAAATTCAAAAGTATTTCCTACAAGTCTACTTCAAGATTTTGAATTCTTATAGGGCTTGAAAACTGGAATGTATTACTTGCGCACGAGACCAGCAGTTGATGCAGTACAATTCACTGTTGACAAAACTCGTCTCAAAGACTATGCTAACGCTAATGCAGATGACGGTTCTAAGTCAGGATCTAGTTCTATTCCTGGTTCTGCCATTGAGTTGACAACAAAAATGATGGAGTGTGCGGTTAACAGTGGAGGTGATTGCTTGATGTGCAGTAGCTAACGGATGGTTGCTGGGAATGGTAGTTTCTGGCATCAGGCCTGAGCGTCATTTTTTTGGAAAGGAAGTAGACGGAACCCTTACTTTTATGCATTAAATCTAAGTGAAGCATACGGTAGTGAGTGAGGTTGAAGTAGTTTACCCTTAGAATATTTTGAAAGTATTTTTAAAAAATTGTGAATCCTTCCGATGCAATAAAGAAGTAGAAGAGTAGGAAAGAGTTTTATGCAGCACTCTGATTTCTATGGAAAGTTATTCAAAAAAGTATGATTGACACGGTATCAAACAGGAGCATCTACATGAAATATATGGATTGAATATTTGCAAATTATATCTTTTTTGTGTTTGTAGTTTCAAATTGTATGAAATGAAATGTTTCTTTGATTGTTATTAAAATCTTACTCTCCAGATTTTCCTTTTTTGTGGATAGAATTTGTTTTTCGTTTGTTCGTCTTCATATTGCATTTTCTTAATATTTCGGACGTCATCAAATCCGAATTACATTTGGAAATATTATCTTTCAGATGTATTGTTTTTAAAAAATGGAGCCGAGTTACTTTAGATTTGAATCTTATCGTTCTTTCATCAATTTTTATCACTTTAAAGCCTTCACATATTTCTTCATGATGTCAAAAACATCCTATTTTCAAATCTTCATGTTTCTTTACTCTCTGAAAAAGATGAAATACAAATACGAAACCTATCTATGCTTTGACCTTGTTCGATGACCAACCGAAGAAAAAAAATGAAATCCTTAATAGAGTTGCTGGATGGGTAGAAATATGTTTTATTGTCACTTTGAAAGCAGAATTGGAGTGTACCCACAGTGTTCTCTGGATGTAGACATCATCTCCTGGAAAATTTGTATATTAACCCGAGGAGATTGAAAACCCCCCTACAGGATTTAGTTCCTAACACTCTGTCGTAACTTGAAGGTAGCTGTATAGTGATTTGGCGAAGATATGCGGTGATTCGCGGTTGGTACATTGCAATTTTGCAAGTTTAGATTTCCACGGTGTTCCTGATAAGAACTTATGGATGATGCGATGTGCATATGATGGAGCAGTTATCTTCTGCACGAACATTCCGCAGTTGAAAAAGGAACTGATGTGAATCATGGGTATTCCGGTCATCCAGGTTTTATGTTATTGCATTTGGATGGCAAATTTCGAGATTTAAGTGAAAATTCTGCCAAAATTAAATTTTTCTTAGAGTTGGAAAGTTGGTACGATGAGGAAGAACTATTTCGAGTAAGTTCTGTGTTCGTGGTATTAAGCAATATTTTTTTCAGCTCGTGGTCGCATTTGGGCGGCAAATGTCACGCCCATTAGCGCGCAAAATTATAGCTTATGCAATAAAGCATCCATATCTTAGAAACAGAATTCTTATTCCGATGGGCAGAAGTAAGTTGTTGGAGGTTTTGGTTGTAACAAATAGAGGATTCATGCTTGGGTTGATAAACTGAATTATGTGCGATTCTATCCTTGTTCTTAAATCCCTCCGTAAAACGGTAATCTTAAAATATAGAGCTTCAAATAGCAAATGACATCTGTTTGCAGGTTTACATGCTATTTCATTTCGTTTACGGATCAAAAGTATAGGCCTTGCTGTTCCATCTAAAACACCAACTGTAACCGAACAACAGGCAATCGAAATGGTTCTCTTTTTAGTGAACTGTAATCTCATTCCGCTGTAATTACTAGTTCTGTATAATTCTCACCTTAATTCACGATTTGTTTTCAGGCCAGCGAAACGCTTGTAGAGGCACTAATTTACGTGTCAACTGTATTACTAATATATGCAATTTACCGATCAAATCCAGAAAAAGCCAAGGCCAGCGATGTAGAAAAATACGTTAAAGTATGTCTTTGTATATCGTTGATAGTTCAAACTTGTGGAAATTTGATGGGTACTACAGAGTTGTTGGGTTTTGTAGGAAAACGAAGAAAGGATAGCAAAGTTTGAAGAGAAGCTCAAAGAACAAGATGAATTAACGATAAAGATTGTGAAGATTATCCGTGAAAAGAAACTGGTTAGTACTTTCTTTTAAGATTGGGTTGGGTCCTACAGAAATCAACTTTTCAACTGCGGCAGTTCTCCAAAAAAAAAGAAGGGATGTTAGGTGAAGTCAAGAATTTTATTATGTAATTAATATCCTAAATTTTTATTCGATAAATTTCTATTTTGGGAAGACTTAATCTAAGTTCGAGTAAATTTGTTCCAACTCATTTTACAGGATGACAGGAACATTCTGGTAGAAAAGGGTCAAAAAGGTCAACTTCTATCTTTTATTGGTGACAAAATGAAAACATTGATGCCCGGGCAGGACAAAACATCTCGCTAGCATTGATTGAACTTGCATCATTATTTATATGATCAGTTGTTGTCCCCTGAGGGAACCTCATTTTCGTGAAGTTTTCTTGAATCCGCCATATACTTCAAAATAAACACTGCTATTTTCTGTTGCGCTTTATTCCCTAGGTTCTACTGATATGTAAATTTGATTTGATGTGTGAATAAAATTAAGAAACAAGCTCATCATGTATCTCGTCGCCAATATCAGTTTGATAGAAATAACATGGACTGCTGCGTTTCTAATAATCATTTCACACAATGTGCTGTACTTGACCTTCCAGGACTCTGAAAGGCTTTGCGCCTGAAGCAACGGTAGGGCAGTTGGCAAGAAAAAAAAATTGCTATCACAAAAAGTAGAACCTGAACGGAGAAACGAAGTTCCAAATGTTTGAAAGTTTTCATTTCCCGATAGTAACAATCGATAACAAAGAGGCAGCCAAAATACTAATGTATCACTGTACTTCTTTCAACCGTTTTTGGAACAGTGACCGCAATGCCCGGCATTTTTCTTCCATTACTTTGCAAGCTTCCACAACCAATTCTGCACTTCTCAGTGCACCAGTGCTTTCAACACTAACTGAAGAAATAGTTCACTGACTTCCATTTACTAGAAAGTTTAGGGATTATGCAACGTTAATTAACTACGTACTACAGTACTTAATCATTATGGTTATCGACCCGAAGGCAATAAAGTGTAATGAAAGTCAAGGTTAAGGGAAAGTCATAAAGAGAACTAGAGAATGTAATTAGAAGGCCCATTTAGAAATTTGGATTCCTGCAGAATATTAGAAGCATAAACACCACGATCCATAGAAGTAGCACATGAAGTGCCGAAAAATGACTGGAACTTACAAATGAAATGGTCTTTGATCCTTGACAATTCAATGTGTTCTGCCAGATCCTCATGTCGTAAAATATTGCGACTACAAGTGTCACATCGTGCATCTCTCACAACAGCTACTCCGTCTGAAATTGACAGAAAACTCCTAAGATTGATAAGTCTTCAAAAATATATGCGTGTTTCTTTTGTAATTCGAAAGTGTCCTAAAATTATTTCAACAAATTCATTGATTAAA